GTTTAACTGTCCTCTGTTGATATATATGTGAGACTTTCTCAAGAGCAAAGTCCCGATGTTTAACTTTCCTCTGTTGATATATATGTGAGACTTTCTCAAGAGCAAAGTTTCCATGTTTAACTCTGTGGCATTGAAAACTCTTGAAAAAGTAAAGTTTCGATGTTTAACTTTCCTCTGCGGAAGGGGTGTCGAACTAAAAACCCTTCGGAAGTCAATTTTCCCTTCGGATACCGTCTTGAGGGCCAACGAAGGCTCATGACTGGCTTCCCTGGATTACGTTATTATCGGCCGGTTCGTTAAAATTGTGCAAAATCCGACCCAATTCATATTCATTATACGGACATGTATGTACGTAGAAATAAATGCTTAATATTCATTATATGGACATGTATATACACAGAAATAAATGTTTTAATATTCATTATATGGACATGTATATACATAGAAATAGATGTTTTAATATTCATTATACGGACATGCATATACACAGAAATAAATGTTTTAATATTCATTATACGGACATGCATATACACAGAAATAAATGCTTAATATTCATTATACGGACATGCATATACACAGAAATAAATGCTTAATATTCATTATACGGACATGTAATATACATAGAATATAAATGTTTATATTCATTATATGGACATGTATATACATAGAAATAAATGCTCAATATTCATTATATGGACATGCATATACACAGAAATAAATGTCTTAATATTCATTATACGGACATGCATATACACAGCTTAATATTCATTATACGGACATGCATATACACAGAAATAAATGCATACCTATCAGTCTAGACATCCATACCTCCTGGACAGATAGATGAATAAATGTACATCAATCAAAGATAGAGAAATATGCACTTATTTGCATGTCTTTATATACGGATATTCACTGGGTCGGGCCTCGAACAATTTTAACAAACCGACCATAAGACAGATACTACCTACTTTTACGTAGTTTATTTTACTTATCAGATTTTGAATGGTGATACTAATGGTAACAAACTGTATATGTCGTTATTTCCCTTTCACGGGCTAATAATATATCATAATCATGATCAATATTATCATTTTTATCAAAAATATCATAAATTAATCAATTACTCATAATAATCATAATAATTGTTACTATGGTTATCAGTAATATTATTATTATCACTATTATTATTATTATTATTATTATTATTATTATTGATGTGAGTATGACTCCAGAGGGATGTTTCATTCATTATAAAAACACAATAAAAAAAAAACTGTTAGAGTGTAGGTGCCAATTCTAAAAGACGAAGGATTGGCTTGATTAATCTATAAGACTGAAAAACTGTAAGCAAGGTGCCGCGACCGCACGTAGGAGTGTGGCAAGGCGTGTGTTTGAGTCCCCTGCTCTTTAGTACGAAAGAACAATGAGTCATTGATCTCTCTGTTTTTCAGCCTCTCAAAACTTACTGTCGAGTTAACATATTGTAACATAGGTCTTCTGTGGGGAAAGCGGACGGCTTCGGGGGGGGGGGGGGGTAAGTTAGAGCACCCCATATACACCCGAGAACCTCCCCCCCCCCCCCTCGCCCCCTCCCCCTCCAGCTGACATTCGATCGGTCCTTCCCCTTTCCATACAACTCGCAAGGACATATGGTGAGGGAGAGGGAAGGGAGCACCTATAAATGGGCGAAATCTCCAGCGGTTTGGTGTAGTTGCAAGCTGTCTGCAGTCATGAAGGTATACCTCAGACTCTGAAGCAGAGTTTCAGTGTATGACACAGTACTTGGCTGGCTTTCAGTGAGAGGACTTATGAATTAATTATTTGCAGGTCGAGAGAGTGCTCTTAGTCATCGTCGCCTCAGCGTCGGCTGCTCCTCAGTTTCAGTTCAATGACGCGCAGGTTCGTGGTTTTAATTATACACATTCATATGGCTCTGCATTTACGTACATCCTCATGCAAGTGAGGAATTCATGATGAACAGATTGCAACAGGAAAAACGAAGATTATATATATATCATATATGTATTATATGTATACAGTATGTAATGTTTGTTTATATACATTGATAAATAATAATTTGATAGATACATATAGATGATCCAGATTGTGTCTGTTGTTTCATCTATACTGTGTGTGTGTAGGTGTGCTGTACATTCCACAGACAGCCAAAAAACATATAGATTTTATTTATATATAAAGTTTTTAATTCTGTAGTTGAAAGAACCCTAAAGCACATGCATCAAATCTCCCTTCGTGTCCTCTCAGCCGATGCCCTACGACTTCGCTTACGGCGTGAACGTCGAGAGCACAGGAGACGTGAAGGAACACAAGGAGTCCGTGTCTCCTTCGGGCAGAACCGAGGGCGAATATCGCTGGCTGCAGCCCAATGGACTTTACAGGTGCGTACGATTGATTTCATCTCTCGTAGAAGGGTTCAAATAAATCATTAATTTAAGTGTTCCTAAGAGCGTCTACTTCAGCAAAGCACTTGGGGAAAATAAGGAAATGTCGATCTTTCAGAGTAACGCGATACTTCGTCGACGGAGACGGAGGATACCAAGCCTCAGTGAGCGAGGAACCCGGAGACCAGGTGGCCAACTACTACTTCAGTTCTCTGGCCAACGCCGGCTCCTCCAGCAGCACACAGGTGTCACAGCAGGGCTTCAGCAGCTCGCAGTCGTCAGGTAACGGTGCAGCATTCAGTGGGTCCCGCTTTTCAAGCAACCAGCAAGCCTTCGGCACTTCACAGTTCTCTGGGAATCGGCAAATCTTCGGGAATTCACAGTCGTCAAGAAACCAAGCTGCCTTCGGGAATTCACAGTCTTCAGGAAACCAAGCAGCCTTCGGGAATTCATTCTCTGGGAATCGGCAAATCTTCGGGAATTCACAGTCGTCAGGAAACCAAGCTGCCTTCGGGAATTCATTCTCTGGGAATCAGCAAATCTTCGGGAATTCACAGTCGTCAGGAAACCAAGCAGCCTTCGGCAATTCGCAGTTTTCGACCAACCAACAGTTCTTTGGCAACTCGCAGTCTTCCCTCGACCAGAACCGCTTCCTCTCCTCGCAAAGCCTCCAAAACCAGCCCAATTCTCAGACTGGGAACTTCGTCGGCAGCAGCATCATTGACGGCGGCGTGATCAGTGGCGGCGTCATCGACGGAGGCGTCATTGACGGGGGCGTCGTCAACGGAGCCACTTTCGGAGCCACCAACGCTTTCAGTGACAGCAACAGCTTCAGTCAGGGCGTGACAAACTTCCAGACGTCAGTGGCTGACAGGAGCGACATCAACCGAGGCGTTGCTGTCATTCTGGCTGGCAGTTCTTTGCCTACCTCTTTCAGGGGGTGAAAAGGGTTGTTTTTATGTTGAATAATTATGAAATAGATATATATATATACACTGTGCATTGTATTTTTATTATATACCGCTTTCATTCATATATATACCTTGATGCGAGTTATCAAATAATAAATAAAATGATAAGTAGGCAGTTTTTGACATCAGTCTTTGGGAAAGCATGCCTTTGGATTATGCATACCATGAAGTGTTTTGCAATCTTTTAATTCATACAACTAATATAATGTAAATTAATCAATTTAATTATTCCAGTGATAGGGTCATCATCCTTATCATCAATATAATGTTAATGATGATGCTTTTCTACCTATACATTCTCAACAACGCTTTATAAGATTATTTTTTATATAATTACTGAAGACGGTCAGTCAAGGCTCTGGTTCTTCGTGTCACCAAATGTAATAGGATCTTTTACAGGCTGTGCAGACACTAACCTTCTTGGCGTCTTTTTTATTCGGCGAATATGTGAGATGACGATAAAATAAGAGAAACAAAGGAGATAGACATAGTGCCGAGCTGAGGAACTTTCTAAATGAATCTTTGTAATTTCTTGTGCATTTTATGGCTATGATGCATACATAATAAATGGAAAATTGATAAACAAATGTACACGTAGCCAATGACACACAGATACACAAACATACGCATATTCGTGAATATACATATGTGAATTGTATACATATAACAATAAGACGTACACATATACTCACAAACAAGTGTGTAATATACGTGTTTATGCACAAGAGGAAAGAAAGTTTTACATCTGGACTATTTGTCAAGGAATTCCATAAGCACTGTAAAAATATTACAACAACTAGAACCATTAAAGATTTTGTAGTTCAATAAGCAGTCAGTCCAAATAACTTATTAATCTTTATTGCCTAAAAACGCAAATAATACCATTATTTTTTCTTGTGAATAGTACAGTTCCAGAGCAATTTACTCAAAGACGGAGACCCCAAAAATACATTTAGATGTTGAAAATACATGCATTCTTATTATTGCATGACGCTGTCTTTATTCACTGGGCAGGTGCACGTATAGATACCTATATATTTGTGTGTGTGTATGTGATTTATGTATCCATATATAGAGACACAAACAAGTTTATATATATACACCTGTATTTACATTTTCAAAAATAACAAATATTTGTACAATTATATACACATCTATACATCTGTGTATATATATGTATATATATATATATATATATATATATATGAATGTATATATATATATATATATATATATATATATATATATATATATATATATATATATATATATATATATATTGTTTATATATATAGTATAAATAAATATATGTACATTATTCATGCATGCATACTATATGTGTATGTGTGTGTGCGTATATGTATGTATGTGTCTTGTGTGTCATATATACATAAATAAATACGTATACATACATATGTGTGTGTCAGGGCGTCTTTCCAGCTTTTTTATAGACGAGCGAAACGAATAAAAGATTAAAAATTAGCTATTCAATGGCAGTGCTATACCGGACATATATTTGGACGTAATTTGTTATTTGAAAAATAATAGAAATAAAGAAATGAAAATTGTGGCCGATGGGGAGAGCAAGCTAGGGGTTAAACAGTCTTAGGCGTTATATACAGTA